CCGTTCAGCTCTCCCAAGTTTAGGGTGTGGCTTCCTTGATAGATTTGATCCATCTCATATTTGATCTTCCCTTTCATCTTCTGCCTTTGACTTTCCTAGCAACATTGTGGCATGCAGATTGAAGGGGAAAGAACACATGTGTGATAACTACATACTTCTCTACATATGGTGCATTACATTCTTTCCTCTGTATCAGGGTTGGCAACTTGCAGCCCCACCACATGTTTTGCCTCCCATCAGCCCCAGTGGAGAAGGATCATGGAAGCTGTGGCCCTCAAGGTGTTTTGGCCTACAAGTTGCCCCTCCCTGAAAAGATAGGAAAATATATTTGTTTACAACCTTCACTGTAAGTATGACAGGGTGGTTATACGAACACAATCCTATGCATGTTGAATCAGAAAGATCATCTGACACCTCCCAGCATTCCCCAGCATTGTGGCTGGTTGGAGAATGCTGGGAGCTATAGGATGGTGTTCTGATATAACTGATATAGGTTGTGCCATAAAGGAAGGTAAGAGGGGATGCATCCAGCTTATCTTACCTTGCACCTTAAGGTTATCTATACTTACTTCCCACACAATGGACTGAACTCTAGAGATATTTGCACAGGATTGAGCTACCCAGCTGCATATAGGGCCAGCCTTCCCATGGAGCAACATGATTCGGTTTCTTTGAACCTTACCTTCCACAAAAAGCACCATTTTCATGCCTCCAATTCTTCACCTTTGTGTATCATTAAAGATCTACCTGCAAGTCCAAAAGAGGCACAGGTTTGACATTTTACTTAAGATGCAAACAACAACAACAACCAAAAACCCCAGCTCAAGTTCTGCACTGGGAGTCAGCAAAAATCATGCTACCCACACTCAACTCTACATGCTGTGCTTGACAAATCATTTAGAATTGAAAGGAAGAAAGAGTTGCTTCTCTGTGTTGGTGTAAAATCCTGAAACATCGGTAGGTTGAATATTACAGGGTGGTGGCACGGGAAGGAATGCTGATTACAGTAACCTTGTCCTGTGACTTGGCATGGGATGGGACAGCTCCTCTCTCAGGTTCAACTTGAAGCATTGGTTCAAATGAGTTCATGAAGACGAGATCAGGAGACTGTGTTGCTGAGGCTATTTTTAGTCATGTCATTGGACCTGCGATGAGTCCTGTTACCTAACAGTGACATCAAAGTGAAATCATGATCAGTTGCTTGACATCTTCATTCACTGCTGAATGCTGACTCTAGAGATCTACCGGAGAACGAGTAATGGGAGGAGCACTTTGCCTTTGCCTAGTGTAATACATTCATTTTTGAAGAAGCACAAAGGCAGTGTTCTGAAAAGAGTCTGGCAAGAGCATCCGCCATGCTTCTCTGCCTAAGCTGTGAGCATGATGTACTGTGCTGCTGGTAGAGGTGCAGCATTATATTTTGAAGCAGTTCTCCTCTTGATGGTCTCCATAGCCACGCTCCAAAGAGAATCTAAAATACCTGGAACTGTGTTAACCCATATCTATGCAAGGAAATTAAGTTCCTTTCCCCAACCTCACAAAGAAACAGTTGGTCCCAAAGTCAACAAACCTGTTCTAGCAGGCTTCATCTCCTCCAGAAGTAGTTATTTCATAAAGCAAAGGGGTCTAATTGCCCATTCAAGGCCAAGCCAAACCAAAGTGCTTTTCATTATAAAAGGATAGCTCAAACAATATATCTTTGTTGGGGAAATCCATCTCCAGGGCACAACACTACTGTAAGAACAGCTTCTATGCTCAGAGCAAGTTGGGAAATCTGAGACATGGTAGACCCAAACCATCATCCTTGGCAATCAGAAAGCCTGGGTGCTTCGGCCCTGTGAGCCCCGGTTCCATCACAGCACTAGTTGCTATATAGTCTGTTCTCTTAAAATGGCCACAGACTCTTTCAGCATATCTGCACTGAAAATTGAAATAGTTTGAACGATTGTGTCTTTTTATAAGGGAATTATTACCTCCAGGATCCTGCAAGAGAAACTGTACCAATTCCACTGACGCAGAAGCAATATAACATTGCCATTATGTTAACAAGGCCCTTTGATAGTATTTAATCTAGCGGCAAAATATCCACACCACTTCTGCTAAGGCACTTCTGCAACAAGTACTGTTGTTATGTGCCATCAGGTGGCCTCTGACTGATGAATGTATCCCCTCCAAAATGTCCTGTCCGTCACAGCCTTGCTCAAGTCTTGGAAATGCGAGGTTTCCTGAGTGGCTTCCTTTGTGGAATGGAGCCATCTCATAGTTGGTCTTCCTCCTCTTCTTCTTCCTTCAACTTTCCATAGCATTATTGCCTTCCCCAGTGTATCTTTCCTTCTTATGATCTGCTTGGAGCACAACAGCAGACATTTTGCTTTCGGGGCAAGTGCTAGCCAACCCCAAAATACTGGCTATAAACTTTTGTGCAAAAAGAATTAAGTAAATTCATTTAAATGCGTATATTACTGTACACAAAATAAAAAAAAATCCAGCACAGTTTGGTGCAAGCCACCCCTTTCATTCGAGTGTGCAGGTTTGACAGATACCTGTTAAAACTCTAGTTTCTTTTAAAGGTTGGGATTTATTTATTTGTTTGGATAGTGCATCCTTTTTTCTTTTTTTTTTACATATGTCCCTGTGCAAAAATCATGAGAAACCCTATGATAACAAAAACAGGTTTAAAAAGAACTGGAGTTGTGACGACTCCCATAAAAGGAGGTGGCTTGCCTTTTCCACCTTCCTGAACATCTTGGGAATGGGTAGAAAGTGAGAGGACTTCAGAGGAGCTCCCTCAAGAACCTTGTGGATTTTGTTGTGAAGGAGATGATCCAGAGGCCAACCTCCTTTCACAAGCAAGAATCATTCATAGCTTTGGCTTCTTTTGACAACTGTCAGGATAAACCAATGGAAAAATAAAGCTCTTGACAGTTTGTCTGGGTGGATTTTATTGTTCGGCTGTTTCATTTTCACTGTAAAACTTTAAACAATTGTATTGTTAGTCATGTTTCCTAATTCAATTTAACATCAAGCTTTAAAAACCCTAATCATCCAAGGCACCACCATAATGGTTTCTTAAAACTGGCACTGAGTGTTCAGAGAATTAAGAACTGAAGTTTGCCACCATGCCAGATTCTCCAAATGTTATTGCAACTGACAGTAGGTCATTTTATTCCTTCAAACCAAATCTAATTGCAAAAATGCTTTTGATTTAAAATTGGGTTACTGCCAGTAGTGTGGCAGGTACTGTATAACAGAGGCATGCAGAAAGTAGATCAGGATCTACTGTTAGATCTTAAGTAACTTGCAGATCTCCAAGGATCTCTGAATCTCTGTACTTCACAAGAGCAGATAAAATTGCAAGGGAAAAACTATCTTGGATTTAGGTAGCTTCATGCCAATTGTTTCCATCTCAGCCTCGGCATTCCTCATCTGTAGAACAGCACTGATTGCTTTGTTCAACTCTGCTAGACAGTTTTAGAGTGCTATTTTAGAATAGGTCAGATGGAGATTTTGTGTGTGTGTGTGCACGTGTATGTATGTATATGCACTAGTGCAGTAGTTCATTGGGTGCAGTACCCAGTTGACTCCATCCTATAAGACACCTTTTTTCTGGTGCTAGGGGTGAGGCCTTGCTGTTCTAGTAAAAAACAAAACAGATCTTGCCAGCCCGAATTCTGCCTAACACTTTTATACAGAACTATGGGAAGCTCTGCTGTGATCCTTTCCAAGTAAATATGTCTAGGATCAAGGCTTAAGGCTCACAAATTCCATGATAATCTGTGAGATTTATGCAAATTAAATAGGAACAGGAATAGAGCAGTGTGGCCATCTTCAAGCACTGTTATAACTACTGCATGATTACCCTGTATATAGATAACTGAATTTATATACATCCGGTCAGGGATCTTACTCTTCAGTCATGCTTACTGTACATAGGACCAAGGGCATAATTTCATATGAATCAGAAATAGATGCTAACAATGAGGTAAGAAAAACAACCCTCCAGTGCAGGTTCAAAACCAGGAATCAGGATTATGAATGAAGTCACTACTGTCAAGTCCCCAACAGTAGTGCCTCTTGCATTGTTCTTTTAAAGGAGGAAATCCGATGCGAACAGGGGGAAAAAGTCTAGAACTCCCAGCATGCAACAGCATTTTTCTAAGGGTTTTTTCCTGGTCTAAACTTGTCACGGATTGTGCTCTTTACGTTCTGCGCAGAATATAACGTCAGTGAGCTTTATTTCACTCTCCCTCCTGACAGTTGCAGAACAAGGCACCTTTCTGTTTGCTGGCCCTGGGCCATCCCTTAAGGGAAAACGTCAAAGAATAATTGGCAGATCTGGAATTCCTGAAGGACACATGTTTAAACAGAAAAAGTCCAACAACAGCTATCATTTGTTTTGCAGAGATTTATAAGACTCACTATACGAAGAGATTTATACCCCATTCGTCTGTGCATTGCATTCATACACTTAGCCCTCTGTTAACCAAAATGCTCTTTACAGCGCAATCCGATCCCTGTTTACTTGGAAGTAAGGGTTTATTCCCAGGTAAGTGTCGACATAAAGTTGCAACTCCAGGTTTTCACTTTCTGTGCATGCTTAAGCGTAACGTGTGGGCCGCTTTAAATTCGTTTCGTGAGCGCAGTGAAGCCGGCTGTTGCCCAAGGCAACTTATGCCACATTGAAGAGATACAAACCTACTCATTTTCCCGCCCATCCCTAAAAAAAACCGTATTGTACATTTATTTTTTTGGGTCGCTGGTCTAAATTGGGCTCGTGATTGGCCAGAAAGTTGCGAACCCTCTCCTTCTCGGATACGTCACAAAGTCTATTAACCTCTGCCTCCAGTGGGGGGAGGAAAACTCCACTATTCCTGTCATCCACTCGGGTGTGGTCTTCGGACTACAACTCCCGCAATGCAGAGCGCTCGTTTCCTCCCCGGCACTTTCTCCTCGAGTGTGATGCCTGTACGGCGGCGCGCTGACGGTGCTGTGACGTAAGCCAGGTGAAGGGTCACGGAGGCCGGAGCCGGTGTCTGGCTGGCGGGCTGGCAAGCAGAACTGGGACGGCCGGGAGTCCGGAATTTCCATCAGGCTCCCCCTCCATGGCGGCCCGCCGGCTCCGGGAAGTCTTTCAACAGGCAGCGCGAGGAAGGCTGAGATCGAGGGCGCCCCCGGCTGGCAGGTGAGCGGGGCAGAGAAGCGGGCAGCGGCTGATGTGTCTGTGGGGGAACCAGGAACCAGGCTTGAGCGGAGGAGGAGGGCGAAACAGCTGGCAGGTCAGAGCCCCCCGAAATCTAGAGGGTGGCCATATATCTTTCTGACAGAGCTCCTGTGCTTGATACGACTGCCGAACAGGCAAGTCCAGAAAGTGACCCTCCCTCACCTCTAACACTCCTTTTCCATGCTGCGAGCAGACTCACCTGTTGAACTTCTGCTTCTCAGACAGATGTTCAAAGCATAGAGTATGAGGTTGAGTGGGTGCAGAAGATAAAGGTGGCAACCCGAAACACTTTGAAGTTGTGTCGTGTGGGGCAAATGGCCTCCCTTAAGTTCAACTGGAGATAGATTAACGTTAACAAGGAGCATCTGGGAACTTTCCGATGCTTTCCTCCCCCTCCATACTTGGGTGTGGGGTATGGAGGGGGAGGAAAACACCCAATCATGCAGGATGCTCCTTATTTTGATTCCTAATGCAGTTGTGTACCACTGAAGAGATTGGGAGAGTAAAAACTCTATGGCCTGTGGAAGGTCATCAGAGCAACAAATGGCAAAAGGAGAGGCCTTGGAAGGGGAAGGATAAACAGAGGTTAAAATGGATACCTCTCTGTTGAGGAAGGAGGAAGATAGTTGTAGCTCATAGTGAGATACTGTTTATGTCTGCGAGCAGGAGCCTGTGGGGGGCATTTCCTGGGAGAGGCATCAGGTTCTGGAGGGTAGCTGAAGTTGGGGGATACTGTAAGCTAGGAGGCAAGATAGTAGAAGTAGGGGCAAGGTAGGCAGTGGGGAAAGTGTACTAGAAGGAAGCACACACTGAGTGGGAGATGAGTACCTGTGGGAGTAACAGACCTCTGTATGGGTTATTTTTTCAATTGTATAGAGAAAGTTGTGTTCATGCTTGTGTTCTTGCAGTTAAGTGGGTGCATTGTATGCAACAGGTGGGGGTGTGCATGTGTTAACAGCAGTGTGTCCCTTCCAGCTTATGACATTAATGCTGTCTCCCAGTGCATGTCATGTAAGACAGCTGGTTGACCACTGTGTGAATAAATGCTGAGCTGGATGAATGCTTGGTCTGATCTTGCAAGGATCTTCTTATGTCTATATGGCATGGACATTTTGGAAGAGAAGTTGTCTCCCTCTGTTGCTGTTGATATTTTTAAAATGCATTATTCGTGAACCAGGATACAAAGGAAAGTTTCTCTACTTCTCACCGATTTAAACACACTCACATTGGCAACTGTGGTGATCATTACTTCGGGTTAAGGTACCTATTGTGTTTTTGAAGGTACTCACAATTAAGGTGTGTGAGTTTGACCATTCTTTCAGTTTATGTTTGTGGAGTTTTGTCTGGAAATGCAGAAGTGGTTGCTGGTGGGTCATTTTGGCTCAGGTTCTCCAACATGAGGATCTGCCTTGGTAGAACTGAAGATACTGACAGAGGTGGCTTGAGTCTAGTGGCCATTCATTTATTCAATAGGGAGCTGATTCTGTATTCATTCATCAGGAGATGTGATTTAGGAGATCTGTGTGCAGAAAGGAACAATGTTAATATTGGCAGGTAGTTGATATGCCCACACCATTTTTCAGGTAGTAACTTGGGAGATTTTTTGGCCTGCTTTTGCAACTGAGATAGTAGACCCTGAGGACTATGTAAGAAAGGCAGCATTGTGGAAGATTTTTCTTCAGCTTATTTCAGGGCAAAACAACCTGGTGTCCTCTATATGTTTTGGACTACACCTCCCATTATTCCTGACATTGACTTGTGGGAGTTGTAGTCCAGAATACTGAAGAGACCAGCTTGCCTCCCCTGAGTTACTGAAGCATGATTCTTTGGAAGGAGAAACAAGGTGGGACTTCAGTGTGGGAGCAGTTAACCCTTTGGGCTTATAGTTAGCAATGGGGATTACAGTCTTGAGAGGAATGCCAGTAAAGCATAGCCTTAGTAAAGTTTGTGAGGCCTATGCTAGTCCTAGCAGCAATGAAATAGAAGTATTTCCAAATTCTGAGTGTGGAGCTGGTGTGACTGTTGCTGTTGTTTGATCCTTTTATCCTTCAAGCTGGAAAGGTTGATGGTGCCTGTTCCCTTAAGTAAACACAGATGGAGCTTTAGAGTTAAGGAAGAACTGGTGCTGGTAGCGTCACTTCTGGCATGGACTTTGGCTTTCTCTGACTCAAGACACCTATGACTTTTGAACAGCTGTTTGGCGGGTTGTCAGTAGCATGAGTGTGCTGCAGAAAAGGACACATGAGGAGAGTCACTCTTGTAAACCTTCTTTCCTAATACAATTGTGGACCAGCAACAGTGTGCGGGAGGGATCTACAGTTTGGGCACCTATGATGGGCTGTAGAGGCAGCCTTGAGGGCTCATGGGTTGCCCCTATCTGCCTGCGCTGTAGTGCAGTATTTGACTTCACCCTATATGGGGAATTGGTGGGATGGAGCACATTGCCTCAGTTGTGACAAAGTTGCTAAGTTAGTGCATTTTGGTGCAAGCTCTTGTTTGTATTTTTTACATAAAATGCATGCATTGAAATATATAGCTGTGATACAAGAGGTAGGTGCTGCCATATTTTAAGTAGGGCTGAGAGGCATTGGAGCAGTTTTTAGGCATTAGAGTGGCTCCATTTAGACAAAACTTTTGATATGTTTCCATTTGAGTTGGCTTATATGCTGGAAAGAATTAGAGTATTGGGATATCACTCCTCCCTTAAGCTAATGTGATGAGCTGATGGAGTGGTTAAGAGCTAGAATGCTTGGTACAAATCTCCATCTCTGGATGGCAAAAAGGAAGCTACTGTCTCACATCTCTGAATATCAATTCCCTGTGATTTCTCATAAACTGGAATTATTTCAAAACCTTACAGGCTTCTTGTAAAGACTACTAAAATAATGCCTTTAAAGTGCTTTGAAGTTCCTTCTTTTAGAGAAAGAGGATTTTCTCCTCCAGCTTGGTGGATATCTTCCAGTTTGGAGTAGCTTTTCTGAACATGATGCCCTCCAGACTACACTCCCCATCATCCTTGATGATTGGGTATGCTGGTGGGAGCTGTAGCTCTACCCATCTTGAAGGTGTCATGTTGGGAGAAGCTGATGTGAAGACTTGCCTGTTTCAAATTTGACTCTCTTTAGTAATGAAGAAAGCTTCTTCACCTAACCAATATTTCCTCCCATAATTGTCTCTAAATTTGCCCCAAAGGTTTGAATATGAACACTTGGGCATGACTCTCTGAGTCTGCTTTGCAGAAGTTACAAATATCTGGATTTTCATTTACCAGAGTGCTCTACAGCAAATGCTTTCCAAGTTACTACCTCACAGTGTGACCTTAAACCTAGCTTTTGATCAGAAAAGCTTTGATTTCTTCTTGAACAGCCTAGTTATATCTGAGGTGGCTGCAGAAGTGAGCCATCAAAAATCTCTAGTCAAGTTGGACTGGTTGCTCTTGTGCTGTTGTGGGTAACTTACCTTTCCCCCAACCTTGCTTTCCTGCCTTAATAATATACTGTAGATGCTTATAATGCAGGGGGACTGGGAAGGTTGGTTAGCCAGCATAGCATGTTCCATTTTTAATATAGATAGGTGTGTGTCTTTGAAGTTGATTGGAATAGCTAGAATGATTTTGTGATCTTTTAAAAAAGATAATATTTTATTGTTGATTTTCAATTGGTCTGTTTTTAGCATTTTCTGCTGCTCACTCTGGGAGGCTGGTTGGCTATAATTGTGTGTAGATAACACTTTAAAGAGATGATGATGAACTGTTGTTCTTTAAAAGATCAACACAACATCTGGTTTTAGGGACTGAAGGTGGAACCCACATGTTTTCCCTGAGAACTCAGCAATATAGGAACTCAGTCTGTTAAAATGGAAAGCCTGGTTAAGGCTAGTAACTTCCCCACTAAGGGCCTCAACCAGCTTTGAAAACACTCAAGACATGTTGGGGAAAGACCAAGAACGTGTGTGCTTAAGAGTGGGTATGTGTGCTGGGAGTTTCCGGGACACATGTTCAGTTGGTTGGTGGAGACTGGTGGCTCTGCGGAGGCTGTGTCTTTCCATGTTTCTGTTTGCTGTGCCAGTCTGTTGAGTCTGAGTCACAAATGCACCAGCCAGAGATTTCATCACCAGGGCCAAAGGTCAAGTGGAAAAATCTCCAGCTGAGACTCGCCTTGAGACCAGAACTTTAAAAGCCTGTGCAGGTGAGGGCTGACACCGTGTGGACTGTGGTGCTTCAGTTTTCTTTAGGGGGAATAAGATGAAGTGCTCTGGGAGGAATAATCCACAGACGGTTGTGAACCCTTGATCACTCCAGATTAAAAATTCCAGGTTTCAGCCAGAATGTGTTGGATTTCCTGTGTTTCAACTTGCTTATGTAATAGCCCTGTTCACAATTGCTTGCTTGGCGCTGCTCCAAAATAAATGTCCTAACTAAACTGCTGGACAGCTCTAACCGTGACTGGCCATTCTTTCTGGAGTCTCTTTGTCCCCGAATATGCTGCAATACGCTCCTCCTCGCCTATTTAGTGGGCAGTCCTTTTGGGGCCGAGTTGCCTCTGGCAAATAGATTCATGTAGCCTCCCCACACCTTGCCGGGTCCAGCCCTGCAGCGGCTCTGGGCCTCTCCCAGCATGTCCTGCAGCTGTGTCAGAAGCACCTGCCTGCGTTGCAGTGCACAGGATGGTTATTGCATACTGTGGCACACGCTGAAGGTCAGCTGCATCTCTGTCAGTTTCCCTCTTCCTCTGGGGATGGCTTTCAGGAAACCCAACCGCAGTTTGTCTTTCTGAGGCACACAGAGCATGAGGAGGCAGGCTGGTGCCAGGGTCCGCCGAGACTGGAATGAGGAGACGGAAATGCCCGGGCCCTTTTCTTCAGCTCCCTGGTAATGGAGAGAGCAGAACTGCAAGTCGCCGGCAACGTTGCCCGCTCAGGCAAAGGGCATGTCTTTCTTTCCCCGGTGGGAAAACTAAGCTCCTCCTGCCATGGCTAGGTTTTCCACAGGGCTTCCAGCGCGTTTATTGGCTGGGAGGCCGCCTCAGCTGGCCCTGGGGGAGGGCCTCGCTGCGACTGTTATGGACAACTAAGCCAGCCAGGCACTGAGCGCAGACTGGAGCTGGCCGGGGTAGAAGGAAGTGCAGGAGGCCTTGTATAACCCTGTCTGCTGTTTCCTGCCATGCCATTTTGAGCCTGGCTTGTGGGAAGTGGAGAAGGAAATTGCCACCCACAACTATGGGTGTGTCTCATAGTTCTGGTTAGGGGTGCCTGCCAGTGTCGGGATAGCCTAACAGGAAGGAAGCCCCTACTTGCCTCTAAGACTTATTAGCCTTACTCAGGTCAGCACTCTTCCCAAGATGTTTTGCACTGGAGCTCCTGGGATTTTCTGAGTGTCAGCTCTGTCAGTTGGGCTTGATGGAACCGAAGTCCAAAACCTCTCTTGGGGGCCGGGGGTGGGGGTGTTTGCTGTAGAGCAAACATACCAGCAGTCCAACTGCTGCTGGGCACCCAGCTGACTGGGATAAATAGTTAAACCTGTTTGGAAGCAAGGGCAGGCAAAGGCAGTGCCCCTGCCTTTGTGCTACCCACAGCTGTGTCTGTCCAACTTTGGCAGCGATCCTGGGGAACAAAATAAACAAAAAGGCCCAATTACAGCTATTTTTGATTTACTTTGGTGCTGTAGCAGGACAGCTTAGGAGAGAGAAGATACCCCATGCAAGCATGTATGTCTGGGCTCTTATCTCAAATTCAGGCAAAAGTGAAAAACCCAGCCAAGGTAATTTTTCATTTGCCTGATTTCCTTTCATCTTCAGGGTGGTGCAGGCTTTGTATGAGGTAATGGCCACACCTCTTAGGGAGGCCCACCAGACGCTGTAGAAAATTACATGTTGTCCAGGGAAGTTCTGCAGAAGTGAGGAGATTGCCTCAATTAGGCTACTGTGCACAGTCAGACAAAAGCTTTCTGCTTTTCATGTGATTTCTCTTCTGTGAAAGCAGCTTACGCTTGTACCCATGGAATAGTCTGCACCACTTAGCAAATGGGTAATGCACATTTACAGTACTGAAGACACATTCTCACAACTAATGAGTCCAGTCTGGGGCAAATGCTCCTGTTTTTGGTTTCAGGATCAAGGACACTGCTCAAGTAGAGTGGTTTTCCTAGCTTTTCAGCCCAGCTAATCTCAGGGATCTTCCAGTTCCAGGTGCATGACTTCCTGTGGAATTCTGATGATCCGAACCCCGCATGCCATTGGCAGTCTTGATTGGGACCTTAGTGCTCAGCACAGCCGGACATTTATCAACTTCACAGGGCCTTTCACCAATAAACGAAAGGAGTACTCAGAAAGGAGGATCATTGGGTGAGTGACTTATCTCAAAGGAGGATGGATGGGCTGTTAGAGGGAAACTGCACATTCTCCGAGATCACTCCTTAGGTATTGAGCCAGCATTGTTCACCTGTCTCTTAAATCTTACTAGTGAATATAGTGGGTAAGTACTTAAGAAAATCCTTTCAGATCACAGGTATGTGAAGTCCAGCATCGTCTTCCCCACAGTGGCCAAATAAGTGCTGATTGGAAGCACCCATGCAAAACATGGAACCGTACAATAGGTCCCTTCTGTTTATGCTTCCCAGCAGCTGGTGTGGAGACTATGCTGCTTCTGACAGTTGAGATAGCCTATAACCATTTGGACTAATAGCTGTTGAGAGCCTTATCCTCCCATGAATTTGCCCAATCCCCCTTTAAAGGCATTTAGGTGGATGGTTACCACCACTTCTTGTAGTAGAAAATTCTATAGCCAATCTTTATGCAATGTGGGAAATGCTTCCCTTGTCTGTCCTAAATCTACTACCATTCAGTTTGATTGGCTGACCCTGCTGGTGCTAGTGTTATAAGCAATGTAGAAAAACTTTTCTCTGACAACTCTCTCCATACCCTGCCTAATTTTATATAGTGTCTCCTGTTACTTATTACTTCTAAGCTAAAAAGTCCTGAAATGTGGCCTTCCAGATGTTATTGGACAGCTAGCATTGTTGATGGGTGAGAGTTAATGGGAGTTGTAGCTCAACAAGATGGAGGGACACATGCTCCAAAGAAAGAGCTCTGTATTCTTAGCTCTGTGTTTGCTAACGTCACTTAAACTATGGTTCTGCGCATGTATATGTAGAAAGAAGTTCTCACCCACAGCTTCTTTTTGATGGCCGATTCTATATCACTGTAAGGTTGGATGAATAAATACAAGAATGAAATGTTTATATATTCTGATAACAAGATGTGTGTTAGAGGAGTCCGTCTGCTGAGAATGAATATTGTACCTGGACTTCCAAACCTGAAGTATTCTGGAAACTTTCCATTCATGCAGTATTATTGTTCCTGAATAATAATTGGAGCTAAATTGGATTTGAAATGTCTGTCTCACTTTGCATTTCCCTCTACAAAAAACTCAGTGCTCTGGTGTTGAGATAGGCCGCAGCCTTCCAGAAACATTTGGACTGCAATACCCAGAATGCCTAGTCAATGGCCCTGCTGGATGGGAGTTCTGGGAGTTGCAGTACAAATGCCTCTGAATGCCACCAGGTTGGGGAAGCCTGGGATAGGGCACACACATCCCTACGTATTGCCATATCCACATTGACTTTCCTGTCTTCAGCCATTGGTTCCTAGTGTATTGGTTTTCTCCACAGTAACAAAGCATGCCAAATTCTTCATTTTGTTGAGAACTGGTGGATGCACCATGATTCTTAATCAGACAGCTAGATTTTGAGACCAGCTGGTTAAAGTTGAAATTTTATAGGTGGGATAAGCATGAGATGGTGGAGGGGGGAATGTTGGATTGGTGAGAGATTTAGCCTTGATACTTCTTTTGCACCTATTTCCATTCCTCAGCCAATGCAGCACCCTTCTCTGTTCTGATGCATCTGCCTTTTCTCCTAAAACCATATTTTGAGTTGGGGCAGTGATGCATAAAAAATGCATCATATCACCCCCTCCTCAAAAAAATGCCAAGCTTTGCTGAGTGAGAGGCAATGCTGGTTTGAAAGTTCACTGTCTCTGATACTCTCTGAGCATGATAGCTCAGGTGAGTTTCCAGGCTCTAAAGTGAGTCTCCAGGATCTTGTATTTTATGGACTGAGCCACGCTGCTTCAGTATACCCAAATGTCCACAGTTCCCATGGAATCCAGTTAGGAAATGGTCTACCATTCCCCCTGTGATCCATGCAGTACACTGTCATTGTCAGGATGTTTGTCTTACTTGGCTCCTAAGTGGACCCTGATGTCTGATTTTACTCTTCCCTTACTTGCAGTTACTCCATGCAGGAGATGTATGGTGTGGTATCCAATGTGGAAGAATACAAGGAATTTGTGCCATGGTGTAAGAAATCAGTTGTGGTCTCTAAGCGTACAGGCCATCTGAAAGCCCAGCTGGAAGTTGGATTCCCTCCAGTTGTGGAACGTTACACATCCATTGTCACTCTGGTCCGACCACATCTAGTGAAGGTGAGCGCTACATTTGTGTGCTCTCTGGATTTGTCACCACATGGTTAATTACCTACGTGGAGAACCTGGCTGATGAGTAATCTGTACTGTAGTTGAAATGAGGAGGGTACAATCAGCTATGTCATCCTGGATATTATTATTATTATTATTATTATTATTATTATTATTATTATTATTATTAGAACATTTCTATGCCGCCCCTTGCCGAAGCCTCTTACATGGCCAAGTCCCTCTCTGACTTTGCCCTCTCCTCTCCCCCAGGCTGTCTGCACAGATGGCAAGCTTTTTAACCACCTGGAGTCAATTTGGCGTTTCAGCCCTGGCATCCCAGGCTACCCTCGCACGTGCACGGTGGACTTCTCGGTAAGCATCCTTGATGAAGAATGTTCCCAACTGCCAAGGCAGCCTGTCTGTCTGTGCTGCCAGTGGTGGGGCTTATCCCTTTGAAACAGGAAGAGGAAAACTCCCGGCCTGGAACAGCCCAAACATATGAGGCTGCAGAAAACTGAACTTCAGCGGCAAGCGTAGCCAGCCAAGACATCCAGTGTTTTGCTCATGCCCACAAACAGTCCAGAGCATAGGTTTATGCAAGAGGTGCTAGGCCTCTTGAATCCACTCTCTCACTCCTAGAGAGCAAGCAAGGCTGAGGGTTGTCATATCTGTATTGGTTTAATAGCCATGACCTCAAGCAAGTCCCTCTAGCTTGATTCTTAAAGAGTGGCCTCCTGTGAGTGTGTGTAAGCCTGTTGTGGGACCCCAGCTTTCTTCTTCCCCCACCTTCCTGTATATCTAGAGTGGCCCAGGAGGCAGAGAGGGACACGTTCCCTCTACCCCTGAATAATCCCAATCAGTGCTTTACAACTTGGCCAACTCATGGCCAAATACTGAAGATGAAACTCAGATACTTTGGCCACCTAATGAGAAGGAACAACTCACTGGAGAAGACCCTAATGCTGGGAACAATTGACAGCAAAAGGAGAAGGGGACAGAAGAGGATGAGGTGACTAGATGGAGTCACGGGACAGTGGTTGTGAGCTTGGGTGGAATCCGAGAGATGGTGGAGGACAGGAGAGCCTGGAGGAATGTTGTCCATGGGGTTGTGATGGGTCTGGCGCAACTTTGCGACTAACAACAACAACTACCCATGACACTTGAGGACTAATGAAGCAGTGTCCTATTCATGGATGGAGCCAACTTCATCTTGAGGCAGGACAAAGGGTTGGGCTTAGGTGTCAAATATGAAAGAGCATAAGTCCTGCACTTTTCCTCCCCAACCCCAGTAAAGCCTCATTATACCTCTTCCATTGTTTGGATAAAATCCTCTGAGATGGTGCTGTTGCCTTACAGCCGGTAAGGCATCCTTCCCTAGCCTGCTGCCCTCCAGGTGTTTGGATTATAGCTCCCATCAGCCCCAGCCAGTCATTGCTGCAATGACTTTACTACAAGACAGCAGTGAGGTTTCTCAAGGAATATCTAGGGAACATTTTCCAGACCATGAGAAATGGAAAGAACTCTACTTCTGCCTCTCCCGCTGCATCTCTTCCCCCATCTCCTGGTTGGCCAGTCTCTCTCCTTTTCCCATGGACTGGGACCAGGTCTTCAAGGCAGTGTTGGCATTGTAGAAGACTGGCAGAGTTTCTGTAGGAAGAGGCCATGTTGTCCTAGGTGGTGCCCCTCTTGGAAGCACCTTGCTATCATTCCAGGATGACAACCAAAGGGTGGGCTGAGGAGAAGTTCTTGGGGATTCCTGCCCCTGGCCTGAACCAACAGTGGCTTGAGGGTGCTCTTGGAGTTCCAGTCTTGGGTTATTGTGCTGGAACATTTCTCCCAGGAGCTTTAGTGGAAGCCTCGCTCTCAGCCTGATCTCTTGATGTTGCAAGGGGTCACGGGAGCTTGGCCAGCCTTTGTTCTCGTGCTTGGGGAGCCATAAACCCTTTGTAAGTGCCAGCCATGGGACACGGTGCAAGTGCAAAGCAGGCTCGGTTATGGGGAGCCTCCCCAGTTCAGGGGACAAGGGACTTCAGTTCCTTCAATTTCAGCACATTTTCTATGTTTTGGAAAGAGCCTCAGGTGCCTAGTTATTTTTACTTTATGCATATGCATTTATAGCATTTTTCTCACCTGTGGTGAACTGGGGTTCTCCTCCTGAGTAAACACGCTACTGCAGAATTCCTTTTCCAATAAATTTTATTGTTACATGCCCCTGAATTCACCCACAGTGAAATGTTGAACCCTCTTTAGCATCAACCATTCTCTTGTTTCTTTATAACCCCTTCTGCTTCTGAGGACAGAACACTGTGAAATCACGCCTGAGTGCATGCTTCCTGTTTCTCCCCCAAATGAACTTCCCTCCAGTGTTGTTGCCAAGCAACCAGCACCACCTTTCAGGAAGAGGGACTTCTACATTGGACAAGCTATGGAGCTCTCTAGCCCCACTCCCCTGCTGTGAGACACATCCAGCCTCCAGCTCCACCTCTCCTCCATAGATTGGTGGACCGGGACTCCCATCAGCCCAGCTGTCAAACCCTCATCTTGTCTTGTTGCTCTGCTCACATGGGTGGATCAACCCAGGCTCTCATCATCCTGAACTGTCAACTCCTTCCCTGCATCTCCCCAGCAGTTCCCTGACCTTGGTCTACTGCTTGGACATGTTGAGATTCCATGACAATCTCATCTCACTATCTGATCTTGAGTTCCCATCAAACTCGTGCATGCGCAGCATCACTCTCCAAACAAAAAGACTCACAGAGCACCTTACAAAGTGAAGAAGCAAGACAGTTCCCACCCACAGGCTTTGTACTCTATAAGGCATCACTTAAAAAGAAACAGAATTGGGAGGGAGGAGGAAAGAAGCAAATCCAGGCACTAGATTCTTACCTGCAAAATCAGCAGGCTATGGAGTTGGAAAGCCAGCTTCTTTCTCTGGAGTTCTCCAGCCCCAGCTTCTGGGAGCAAGCCAGAGGGTTGGGTACTCTGAGCTGGGGCCAGCTGTGATGGAGGTGTGACAGAGTCCTCCTTGAGCTGCCTCTCACACTCTTCCCCTCTCTCCTCAGATTTCTTTTGAGTTCCGTTCCCTGCTGCACTCACAGCTGGCTACAGTTTTCTTCGACGAGGTGGTCAAGAAGATGGTGGCAGCCTTTGAGCACCGGGCAGCCAAGAACTACGGTCCTGAGACCCACATTCCCCGTGAGCTCATGTTCCATAAAGTCTACCAGACGTGAAGGCCACCCTGCTGCTCCGGTGGCCCCACGGACATTCTGTGCTGCGGGGTGCACTCGTAACACACCAAACTTGTTTTTATCTATTTATTTGGTTTCTCCTGGTATCCTGTCTAATTTATCCACTGGGCCTGGTATGATGACAAAGACTTGTTCCTAAGGAAGGGGCCAGGCTGCCATATTACCTCTGGAGCAATCTCTTAACCTTCTCTCTTGCCTAGCTGTGCTCTTATGCTGGGTCATTTGTATAGTAGCACACTTTATTTGAAGCTTCCCTCCCCCACTGTTTAATTTAAATCCCCATCCCATTTTCCACCAATCACATATCCCAGCGTGGCTGCCTTAGGCTGCAAATGGTGCCAATCCCAGTTTCTTATGGGAGAGGTGGGGAGAAGCTTGTGTGTGTGTCATCCAGTTCTCTTCCTGTGCCTAGACATGGGCTTGCTGTAAATTGTGCCTCTTAAATCATGTGTGTAAAGCAAACAAACAAATGCAGCCTGCCCTCCCCAACGTGACTGGGGCTGCCTCTTGGATCAGGGGAGAGGCTGTTCCTGTTTCCTTGGTGGTTGGGTCCTCGCTGGCTCAGCCTGACCGCAGAAGGTTTGAAGCCACATCATGGGGAGGCAAATGTGACCAAAGGAAGCCAGGCAGGCAGTTTAGCAGTGCTGAGTGGCTGGTTTTTGTTATGGAGGTGGGTGGAAGGGGGAGTTTGGCCAGTGCTGCTGCTGCATCCAACGTGGCCTCATCTTCCTCACCCAAACGGTACCATATGCTTTGATCAGCCAGGTAGCGGGGTATGGACACACAGCTGTCCCGTGTTTGCCAAAATTGGGTGGGCAGCTGCGTTCAAAGGAGTCCTGAAAGGAAAGTCATGTGCCAAATTTAAGGCAAAGGAAGTCATGACTCATGGAGCTTGAATGTTTTTTAAAAAGAGATATTAGAAGCCCCCGGATGGATTTATTTTGAGCTGGGAGGGAGCGAGGAAGAACACTTACTCTTGGATTGCTACCAGAGCTTTTTGTAAAGTCAGGTTGCCAGGTCTTCTGGTTCCCCTGAATCCAAAACTTCCGAATGTCACCTGGAATCTCAGCAGCCAATGTCATGTGCTCTCTTGGGGCATGAAGTGACACTTCGTCTTGCTAACTGCCAAAGACTCCGTCTTCGGCAGTGAGAAAGCCAGTAACACTGCTGTGCCAACTAGCCAACTTCTTTAATTGTCACTCTATATAAAGAGACTCTGAGAAGAGGTCTGAGCTGGTTGGGGACTGCAGCTTTGGCCACAAGGCCTGTACTTTCCCAGAATCATAGTTCCTCTGCCACTGAACCTTTCCAAACCAAGAGAAGTTGACTGTGCCTTGTGTAGTTTACTCAAATGGAAGCTCCCATTGATGGAATGTAAGAGAAGAGTGAGTAGTTTCCCACTGTTCCTGGTCTTGCTGGGATGTGGAAGGAACTCTCTGGAATCTACTTATCCCCAGGGCAGTTCTGAACTCTGCTGATTTGTCTCTTCTGGCCAGCAGTCAAAGTTGCATGTTGCAGCCTTCCTGTTTGCCCCATAGTGGCTCTGGAAAGCAGCTCCTAGTCCCATAACCTCATTGTCAGCATCTCTAAATTCGCTCACCCCCCTTTCAGAGATCTATTTGCATTGCCGATGGGGACCCGATATTGGAAGGTGACCTTTGTTAGGTGCACCTTTTGCAGAGACACTGGGTGCATCTGATTGTCAGGGTGGGGAGCAGAGCTCTGGCTCAGCCATGTGCCTGGGGAGGGGAGGAAGCAGCAACTCTCGGTGTGGCCTTGAGCACAGTAGGCACGACACCGCACCTGTGGGGATTGAAGTGGTGCTTGTGCATGCTTTGGTGGAGATGTGACATTCGATGAGTGTGGGAACGAGAGTGCTCACTTTGTATGGTGTTGTCATAACTTTGCATTGACCATGGCTTCCTGAGGCACTGGGCTCCATATGCAGGGAATTTGGGGAGGGGTGGATGATACTTTTAATGGGTAAGTGAGGTATTAATGTAACAAATAAAAAGGCAGAACTTAGGGTTGGAGAAATTCAAGGTGATTGCTAAATATTGGGCCCTTGCTCAGCAGTCCGACCATGTCCCTTGCTCAGCTCTTAGGGCCACACGGCACCACCCTCTGCCTTGTGTGGTTGGGCACAGCAGGGGCAGGGAGGGGTTCTTGGGGAATTGGTTCAGAAGGGGTTTGGCACTGCAGATGTGGCTAAAACTATCATCCCCTGAGCTTTTCCCCTCAGGACCGGAATTCCCAGACAGGGTATGGATCACTGACAGGAGCCTGCCGTGTTTGGGTTGTGGGAGGCAAGCAGCAGATGGACCATTGGGAAGACCCTCCTTCTCGGAGTTGTATCATAGGGCTGCCTGCTTTGTTCCGTGGTACAGTGAACGAGGCTTCCTTTTCTATGAAACCAGGCAAGTTACATGCTTAGCTTTCTGGCTTTGTCTGCTCTTTCTGCTCCTTTCCCTCTGCAGCTGCAGCATGGCTATTGCCATAACTCTGGGAACAATGGTTTGCCTGTTCTGCCATGTCAGGCTAGCAACCTGACTTTGAGGCAGTTCCCACGAGTGGTCGGCTGCCTCTTATGCCACCCAGGATTTGGATGCCGGCTCTCTTGGTGCAAAGTTGTCTTGTAGTCACCTAACTGTATGGACTGGTTCATACATTTGACACCCTTTGCAAAGATGATGTTACAGCATGCTGCTCCTACCCAAACCATTCTTCCTGTCTATATATGTTCTTCCCCACCCTCCCTGCACCCAAAATGTACTGATGGAAGGAGGCTTAGCTCCAAAGAACAACACTTTAGACCGTTTGAAGCTCTTGGCTTGCTCTTTGCCCTAGTTTCTGCCAGTGCGTTCTACACAACCGAAACCATCGTTTATATTACGTGTACACACCCACCACCCTCCAGCAAAGGAAATGCATACATTTTTAAGGCCAGTGTTTCCCAGAATGCTGGTCTGAGCACGTAGCTTCTCATTTTCCTTTTCAAGAGGCATAGTTGCTTGTGGGGAAGGCACCACAAGGGATCCAAGATACCTGGGAAGAAGTCGTGAACAATTGGAGGGTCCACCAAGTATGCCCTGTCTTCTATGAATGAAAAACTGCAAGGTTAGAACTTCACCTTCCTGCTTAGCCGCCCTTGTTAGCTGACATGAGTGCACTGTGGAGAGGAGTTGCAACTGGGATGGCCCAAGGGATGAAGTTCCTTTGGCAATGTGGGTGGAAAGCAACCCTCGAATTTCAGTCCAGTGATGTGACTAGCATGACCACTGAGGCAATGCATGACCATCCAATATGCTCCTCCTGCCATGCTTTAAACAAAGCCTCGTTTGAACCCACGTTTTTCATATACGTGTTGTGTCAGAAGGAGAATTTGAGTTGGCCAGGAAAGTCCCAGCTTCAGATCTCTCTCCTTCCGACTTGACTATTATTACAAGTGGCTTGGGGATAGATTGTCATCTATCCTGCCAGAAATGATAGCTGGGGGGGGGGGGCAGAACTGAAAACCAGCATTTGAAAACATTTGGTATACCGATGTGCAGTCATGCCCACCCCCAGTGCCTTCCGGATGTGTTTGAACTGCAACTCTCATGATTCCCCCATGCCTGCGGGGAATCATGGGAGTTGTGGTCCAATACATCCAGAGGGCACTTGGTTGGGGAAGGCTGGTGAAAGGATGCTTTGGCAATAATTCACACAGATGCCACTTGCATGGTCTGGCAATCTTACTGTAAAGCCATGGCTGTTCGCCTTTCTGACAAAGGCTACAATCCTGTTTGTGCTTTATTTGGGAATTAGTCCCATTGAATTTGGTGGGACTTGCTTCTGTGTAAATGCACTTAGGATTCCACTTAATTTGTCTGATTGCCAGCTGTGTCAGAGTCTGGGGGTTGTTGGAGGGCTTTGATTACATAAAAGCCTTGTGGTTACTTATAAGCTAGTTTGCATTGCAGTGGGCTTGCTCTTCCCTGCTGTGAAGTTATATACTGACCTGCTGCTATTCCAGGAGTACAGAAAAAATGTAAATATGATTATTTGATGCAGATTTTACCTTCTGGAGAAACTCATCTTTTTTTCTTTGTTTTAAAAAACAATTTTCTAGTTTTTCTACACTGTTACAATATACTTAAAAATGTTTAGGTAATACTTGAGGAAAACTCAGAAGCCAGAGAGGTGGCTAGAAAGACTGCTTTTCAAAGCAGATCTATTATTGCCAGACAATTTACTGAATATTTCCTTATTTCTCAAGAGCCTCTTTCTCACTATGGTGGAACTCTTCTCCATACCCATGATTACAAACTCACTTTTTTAAAGCAACCCCTCCCCCGGAAAAAAAAAATGGGAAGGAGAGCAATGCAATTTGCTCGTTGCAAGTCTGTTGGCTCCAAAGCACCACCTGAAACCTTACAATTACATGTTTGCTAAGCAGTAACCAAGTCCAGATACTCTAAGCAAGACTTAGCATGTTATGTCAGGTTCTTGGAAGGTCAGCTAGCCTAGAAGTGGATTAGTCTCTTCTCTCAAGCACCAGGAGATAACTAGTGGTTCTGCTGCTTGAGAACCCATGTGTCATGGGTTACATTTTCTGTAATCTTACACTGTTACTCCCACTAAATTGGATAGAGATTAGGTAGTGCACAATGCTGATCAAACTAAAGGCCTGATGTAACTTCAGGTGTGGTTATGCACATAACTGACATAGGTGCCATGGTTAAGCTTATCTTGTCATTGCAAGTTTCCTGTTGGCTGTTGCTTAGCTTCAGGCACTGGCAAGAAAAGCCGTGTGCAGCCTTCTGCAACCTAGTGTCCAACACATCTGGAGGGCTATAATTCTTATTCGCCAGCCAGCATAGCTAGGAATTTTAGTCAGATACATTAGGAAGGCCATTTCTCCACTGCATAAAAGCAGCAATGCTCTCTTTGTAGTTGCTATTATGAGTATCTTCGCTTAAAGGCAGATTCCACTCCCCTCCCTGCTCCTTGCCAACCCTTCATGCAATGAGCCTGGAGTTCTCCAGCTGCTCTGTTCAACAGTTGATCCTGCTGCTCTTCCTGGACAAAGCAGCTTTATCATTAATATTGCAGTGCCTTGTGCTCTTACCTGTGCAGATCTTCTTACTGGCCCCTGCTGCCTCATGCTCCTTAGCCTGGTATGTGCTACCTCAGCTTGTAAGAAAGGGGATGCTTTTCAGAGGAATATTGTAGGGAGGGGGGGAGTGGATGAAATCATGCACAATAGGAGGAAATAATTATTTTGCCCTACCCCTTGAACTGTGAATCTTATTTGATAATTGCAAAATCTGAGAATGTTCAAAAACTGAACCAATCCCAAGAGCATTTTTATAGACCAATAAAAAAAAGTTTGCAAAAGTTGACAAACCATGTGGCTGGAATGTTATTGCGGGGTTCAGTAAGAGTGGTGTTGGTAGTGCTAGGCACTGTGGAAAAGTCTTCAGCATGCATGAGAGGTGGTGAAGAGTCTCCAATTGTGCCTGTTCTTCACCTGTAATACATGCACCTTCTATACTGGGATTTCACCTGGGGCACCTCTGTATTTTGAATAGTTCCAAGTGTGACTAGACAAGAGACCTGCCTTAATATAGTCTTCCCCAACCAGGCATCCTCCAGACAGATTAGACTGTAGCTTCCAGCATTCCCCAGGTGGCAAAACTTGGGTGTTTTGGTGCTTGACATCTAGGAAACAAGATGTCCTACATAATAGCCACCTTCTGTAATGAAAAGATGGGGATATTGAATAAGGTGAGCAACAAACCTGACTTATTCAAATGGACTTGGTGCTGTGTTGCTTGTATGGATGGTGGTAGTTAGTACATGTGTGAGAGCCAGTGTGTAGTGGTTAAGAGCATGGGCCTGGGACTCAGAGGATCTGGGTTCTAGTCCCCGCTCAGCCATGGAGCCAGCTGGGTGACTTTGGGCCAGTCACAGACTCTCAGCCCAACCTACCTCACAGGGTTGTTGTTGTGAGGATAAGATGGAGGAGGAGAATGATGTAAGCTGCCTTGAGCGCTTTGTAGGAAAAAGGCAGGATATAAATCAAAAAATAAATGTATAGCAGAAAGGAAAACGGGTGAACATTAAGCTCAGAGTGTAGTGTGCAGGAGAAGGTGGTGACTGCAAAACTTCAGGGTGTAGATAAGCTCCCCCCAGGCTTCTGCCTTGCATGTAGTTTGGGCTGTACCTCTCTCTCATCCGCAGGCAGCGTGATGGGATCTGGAAATCAAGGCACCAGGTACTCTCCACCCAACTACCTATAACTATCATAGCATGTCCTAAGGCACAATCCAATTTTGAAGACAACTACTGCAGTTCTCTGCTATGCCCAATTTTCTAAATAAAGTTACTTCAAAATTAAAGCTGAACAAGGCTGAGTGGCCAGTGCTATACAAGCAGGTATATGTACACCTGTAAATGAACACCCACCACCTGTGCCTTAATTATCCAGTTACATACAAAGCATTTTGACTGATTCTCAGGCTGAGCCAGACAATGTTACTGCCCCCCCCCACTCCCAAGTCTTATTAAACCTCAAGTTCATCTTCATTGGGGTGACGTGATCAGTGGCTTTCCCAGCAAAAGCAAAGTTGCCTGCTCACTAAACAGGCTACAGCCCCTTTAGGGCTACCAGGGCATACCAAGAGAGATGAGGAATCACTTTTGCCCCCCTGCCTTCCCATATGAAAGAGCTGGGACAGAGAAACGGTCAAGCATCATTGGCTGCATAAAATGGCAGCAGCTAAAGGGAAGCTGCATCTTGTGCTTTTGGTGGCACGCATGAGCACTGGGCTGCCGATACTGTTCCTGGGTTGGACTTACATTGACAACAGGCTTTGCTACAGCAGGGCTGCACCTTCAGAAAGCACAGCCTCTTTTTTGGCACAAACACCTAGGAATGGCTATTTATAGAAGCCTTCTGGGAACTACATTCCAGCTGAACTTAAGCATCCTCCCCTCCCTCCAGAGGCAGCAGGTGCTGGCTTCTGTCCAGTGTGTGCCCAGAGCCCTTCAAGGGCAAGAAGAGATTCTCCCAAGACCAAGTGGGACACTGCTGGGTTCAGAGCCATGATTTCAAACTTGCACACTATCAGTACAGCTCTGCAAGCAAGGCTAATCTGGTACTTCCCCACACCCATTAGGTTACTTTGCTTGATGTGAATCAGTGACAACCTGCAAGATGTAGTCAGACCTAGTTCAGGGCAGATTAGTTTTGTGCTTGTGAAATACCAAGTATGAGCAACATGGAAGGGCTTTAAGCCAGTGGTAGGGGCTGGGAAGACTTCTGCCTGAGAGCAGCTCTCAGCTAGTTCAACCAGTCATCTGACATAGAATAAGGCAGCTTGCTCCAGTCACAATTCCCCCCATTACTACTGCTTCTAATCACATACATCCTTCCCCTGAAAGGCACTGATAGAGCAGCTGCTCTCAACATGTGGGTAGGATATCTGTATTAAAGGTGGCTGCAATCTTACATGCAAGTATACAAACCAATTAACTCACTGGGGACTTCTGAACATGTACAGAGGCTCTGCTCTGTAAGCAATCACACCCGAGCCACTCTGTTATTATCTGAGCCAGATGCCAAGAGTAAAAACAACTGCAGCTGTTTTCCTAGCCCACCATCCAAGTTTCAAAGACATTTTCTGCTCACCCCAACAGAAATGGCTATTGACCCAAAACAAACCTGCTAAGGTCCAGCAGAGGCCTCCTTCCATTGCCACTGCCCAGCGGTGAGAAGTGCAGGAATATTTGTATTGGGGTATGCAATCTTTCCAGCTTCAAGGGCCATATCCAGCGTCAGTGAGGGACTTGGGAGCCATTCATGTGGTAGGTAGAAGCATTCCTCATTGCTTTTATTGTTACAGGCCACAGTTGTGATATTCCAGCTCTTTCTCTCCCTCAAACATTTTCTTCAGTGTGCTTCCCAGTTACCGGTGTTACCACATTGAAGGAACTGAATTAAATCAATCTCGTTACTTTTATTTCAGTGCAATAATTTTACATGGAACTAGATCCAGGAACTGCCTTCTGTGAGAAGAGCCCTACTCACAGAAGGTCCCACTACCTGATTTTGGGGATTCCTCTTCTAGGGATCCCCAAAGAGGGGACCACAAAACATCCCATTCTTCCAGGTTTCTTGCCTCTGTGTAGCCTTTTCAGAGGGCTGCAGGGGCTGTTGAAGGAAGGCAGGGAAGTCCACTCCTGCCAGCACAGTTGAACCAGCTTAAATCAGGATTTTACTTAAAATTATCCACATTAGTTTAATTCCTCTCTACCTCTAGCATCAACTGTGTTTTCTGCTCACTTTTTAAAGAAAAACGTGCATGCAACACACACTCAGTGGATGATTGCGCTTTCTCACAATGGCTGCTGGCTCTCTGATATTGGGTTTCTAGCACAGGAATCATAGTGGCTGAGGCTGCAAGTGCAGGCAAGCAACTGCTGCAAAGCAAAGTAGGAAAGCTTTAGGAGCAAAAGTCAGAGCCCTGGGTATCCCGCAGGCATCACTGATAAACAGGGACACATTCCAAGTCTGTAAGTTGTTAATAAAAACATTTATTTTGCAGTTTGTACAGAACCACCTGAAGTTTGCAAACAGAATGCTGATGCTTACACAGCCACTTACACTGTGCCTTCAACTGAGGATGGGGGGAGGGGTCTTTCCTTTTTTTCCTGCGGCTATAGGACAAGGGGTTTCACACAAACACACAGAGAGAAAAAACAAACATTGGTAGGAGTGTATGAAGTCCCTTCTAGAGAGGAAAGGAGGCCAGGAGACAGATTCCATTCTTCACTATTACTGCTCTCAAAATTGCAGAGAGTCTGTTTAATGCCAGATGGCAGCATTATCACAACTGTCCTTTTGGAAATGTTATCAATGCCTTCTTAAACAAATGGGCCACCCCACTTTTTCAGGACCACAGCACCGACACCCAAGCCAACTTTTTACTTTGTTGTTGAGATGGGGAGGGAGAGGAGGAGAAAGTAAGCCAGTGGTTTTCATCTCCTCAAGCCAAACAGGAGGGGACCAGGAGATATTCGTTCCTGGCAGAAGCAGCTCACTACCACTCTGCCTTTGGGATGAAAGTGCCATCTACCCAGAGTTCAGTATTTGGAGGGCCACTTGCCAGGAAGGGGCTTGTACACACAATGCAAGTCAGGGCAAATGGGCTGGGGCAGGGAGAGAAGAGCTGTATTGCCCCCTTTTGGCAGCAAAGAGGTGAGCGACCCTTTCCTTGAAGGCGGAATACAACTCAAGCTGCAGCTGTGCCTGCTTTTATGTTTGAGAGCCATCCACCCACTATTTCACTGTAACAGCAGAAGATTAGACAAAGGAGAGAGAAGTCTGAAAATTTAGAGGGGAAGAGTCACTCTTCCCTCCCCACCTCCCAACAGCAGCTCTTGAAGCCAGCTCAAAAAGGAGGACATTGTTCAAACACACAACACCCCATCCACGTGGAGCTGGAAGGCGATACAATTGGCAGAAAGCAGCCTGTGATACAGCATGATTACAAAAGGGGAAGCATCTTCTGCTCCTGGTCTGCAACGGGGGCAAATAAGAAAGCATGTCTGAGCTGGGAAGCAGCACTCTCTCGCGCCCAGGGCAACAGGTCAGGCTGGGCAGAGCTGGCCTGGGGCCTGCTTTTAGGAACCTAAGATGAGGTGGTATTTAAGGTCATGGGCAGGAAGGGGGGAAATAAGTATCTAGTTTTTATCTGAATTTATCCCATAAATAACCTGAAAAAATGTGATGGTCAGCGCCTCTAAGGAAGGATCTTCTCAAGGCCCTTTGAACAAACACAAAGTTGCATTGTCTCTATCATTCAGTAGCTAACCCTTGCCCTGGTCCCTTGGCTTTAACCAGACTTGGCACCCACAAGCTCCATCAGCCCATCTGTGCTCATGGATTTAGGCCTTTCCAAGGGGAAGCCAAGTGCCCGGCTCCAGATGAGTTGTGACAGGACACCAAGGGCCCGAGACACCCCAAAAAGCACTGTGTAGTAGTTCATCTCCTTCATGCCATAGTACTGCAGAAGGGGGGAGGAAAGAGGGGGAGGGAGAGAAGAGATATCATTAAAATAGCCAAAGGAAGCAGGAGACAATCTCACACAGTCATGGGGAAAAACCCCACAGCATAAAATATGCATGCACCTCCAGTTTTGCTAATATAAAGACAACCAAGCTGAGCATAACTTCTATTTTTCCATCAACCAAGGAACCTTCCTGGTTAGCAACTAGATTTTATGTTTTGGGAGACTGACATTTCTGTTATTCTCTTGTTGCTTATCCCTAAGGGCACCAAAACCACCACATTGCCCGGCAGAGTCCAATCTGACTCTGCAATCCCTTCTCCTCCCTATCATAAGACTCTGATTCCTGACTGGCGGTGCAGACGACGCCTGAGGGAGTTTATCTCCCTTCACGGACCTATCCTATAATCTAAGTTCAGAAGGTGGCAACAAGGGAGGGGGCCCGGCCAGTAGTGCATGAACTGATCTCATGAATTGATCTCCCCAGTGAAGTCCACCTGGTACCAACACTGTTTTACTTTCCACACCAGGTTAAGACTTTCTTCTACTGAGTGGCATTTGGCAGCATATAGTAAGGTTTTTAAATCAAGTCCTGGGATTTCTTCATTGCTTGTAAAAAAATGTTTAGATATAATTGTGTGTGCTGTCCATTTGTATGTAGATGGTTTTTATATTACATAAAATATTGTATTTTAAAGATTGTTAATCTCTGTAAACTGCCCAGAGAGTTTTGGCTAGTGGAAGGCATAGAACTGTAATAAATAAAAAACTGATAACAACATCCAGTCAGCTTCCCTACCACAGCTGCTCATCTACTTTTTGTAACACCTTTTCGAAGGAAGAAATCTGGGTACCGTGGCAGCTTACATTTTTATGCTCTTTGAGGCCACTTAAAGGTATTACACTATACAGATTTCATACAGAAATGGAATCTGTAGAAACTCATAACCACCACTAGAGGGAGGTCCACTCCAACAACAGGCTGCTTGGGCTCTTGTAAATTCAAGTTTTCAACCCATCCTCTACAGATGCTTAAGGATCCTCCAAGGATGACTAGAAACTACAAGCAGATCGACCCTCAGGCAGCCTGCCTACTGCCATTCATCTTCTCTTGCAACACACAGCCAGAGAATACCAGGCACATCCTAAAACAGGGTGTAGTCTTCCAGATGTTATCGGCTGCACCTCCTATCAGCCTCTCACCATTAGCTAGCTAAGCTGGCTATGGCTGATAGGGAGTTCTCAGCCAAAACATCTGGAGGACCACCTGCTGCCCACCTGCATTCTGGAATACCCTCTTAGTTTGTGTGGAGCAACAGCTAGGTCCAAGGGCCTTCATTACCCATAAATTGAGTACACGTCCCAAAAGGCTGCTGTAGAATGGGCTGCAGATCTAACAGTATCAGACATGTTTCCCCAAAGACAGGTGTTTTGACCTCTACCACTTCTAAGCCCTTGTGGGTCTGGCTCATCCCCTCTGTGCCAGAAAACAAACTTGGCTCACTGGTGTAGAGGGGAAGAATTGTGTGCTGCTGATTCATGTTGTACTGTGCGAACGCACAGTTGTTTCCTGTACGGACTGCCCACAAGGTTCCTTCAGTAGCACCCAGAGCAGTTAAGTTGCAGAAGCAAGAAAAACTTCTGCAATCAAGCCGCCTGGTACACGAGACAGCCTGGGACTAATGCCAGTGTCTCCCTTGCTGGGTAAATCCTGTAACTGAAATGAACACAAATATACTGACAGTGTATAGTTGTATATTGTACTTGCAGTTTTAAGAACTTGGATACCTCTCCCTCACAAAAAAAAGGGGGAAAAAAGAACTTGGATACCCGCCGCTAAGCAGAGCAAGAGGGACTGGCTTGGTGTGACAAGTTAATGCTGAAGAGGCATGACTAGTGTACACAGACCCCACTCAGCCATAGGCAAAGTCCACACCAGGTTGCTAACCAATCAGGCTTTTTTCTGACCAACTGATAAGAGTGACTGGAGGGCCCCTCCAGAGACTCAGGAAGCAAGAGCACCACAACATCTGTGCTGCGAGAGAGAGAAAGAGACTGGCTCTCCCTCTTCTGGAATGCTCAACTATAGGCTCACAATCTGCAACCCGTTGTTGCAAAATCATCCTATCATTAGGCGGACACCGGTGTTCACACTCCTAGGACACTTTTCAATGTCTGAATTACAACAAGAAAAGAGGCCGGCAGGACTCAAAGTGCAGCACACGTCTTATCTCAGGAAGTACAGGGCTTCAGTTCTGGCCTGCAGCAGGCAGAATGCGAGACCGAGCGACTCACCTGTAGCAGGACCCCACTATGTGCATCCACATTGGGCCAAGGATTCTTGGCCTTGCCCTGTTCTAGCAGCACGTTAGGAACTATCTTGTATAGCTGGGCCACCAACTTGAAGAGAGGATCTTTGGGAAGGTGCTTGAGGGCAAATTCTCTCTGGCAGGTGTAGCGGGGGTCTGTCTTCCTCAGCACTGCATGGCCATAGCCAGGAACCACCTACAACACAAGAAGTCATCAGCATCTGGTGGGCAGTGCCTGGCATGATGCAGGAAGGGGGCAAGACACAGATAGTCACATGTGTTTTTAGTTGTCAATACCTACATCCTGCCAGAAGACATGAATGCTGCCATTATAACCCTTTGTCTCTACATCATAGAAAGGATGCATTTGAGAGCGCATGTGTATAGCTATCAGTTATCCAAATTTGTAAAATCAACTTTCTTCTGATTCTCAACCCACCATGTCCACATGTATCCTGCCTGTTAAACACTTCCACAGATTTTAGACATGCAGGAAGCTTGGTATTTGTCTACCAAGTCCTGAACTGTCTACTCCATCAGGGGGTGGGGTTGAACATGTTTCTGCCTGAGGGCCAAATTCAATTTCAGAGACGCTCTCAAGAGCTGCATTCCAAAGGTGGAAGAGGCAAAAGGCAAGAAAAGCAGAAGAAGCAGGCAAAATAACTTCACAACATAGTTTAAATCTTATTGCCAGTTGCTATGCTTTAGGAGAGGCATTCAACTTTTTAGAGTGAAGAGGAAACTTACACAAAAGCCAGGAAACCAGCCAACAACTGGTGGTTGGGAGAAAGGGATGGGGCTAGGGGAAAAGGCTATCTGGGGACACAGGAAGGCCCAATTTGGTCTCCAGACTTGAAGTTCCTCACCCCTGATCAACTCTGGCACAGAGAGGCCTTTTCCACCACCTGTTACCTGAACCAAGCATGTGCTCTCCCAGTATGCCTCCCTGTTTTAGACTGACTTGACTTGGTCGAATCTGAGAAAACCTGCAAGAACAAATCCATCATTTTCCCCAACCATGCCCATCCTCTGTGTTCCCCTAGAGGCTCGGATGCTGCCACTACTCACCCTGCCAGAATTCAGAGTGTTCCAGATATACTCCCTCAACTTCTCATCAGACACATTCTCACCCAATTCCTTCTGCAAGTTCGTCAGCCAGACCAGCACTTCCTGAAAGAAGCCCGAGAGATTTGCAGATGACACACAAGAGGAGGGAGATCTCCCCAGAATGTTCTCCCTGCAACACCAGACCCACTGGCATGGCTAAGTCACATGCGCCCTTACCTGATTCGCTAGACCATGGAGGGGCCCAGCCAGGCCATTCATGGCCGCAGCAAAAGCCAGGTAAGGATCTGAAAGGGCACTGCCCACCAGGTGGCTGGTGTGGGCACTGACATTGCCACCCTCGTGGTCACTGTGGAAAGAAGAAAGAAAGGGAAAGATGTCAGCACAGAAGCTAGCGTATCACTGAACATGGAGCTGAAATAACAGTTTCACGTGCATTTAGCCAATTGCCATTAGGTAAGAGAGAACTTCACTCACATTTCTACCTGGACAAGGAGACTACAACACTACATGAGGTGAATTCATTCCATGTTCTTAGCCAGTATTCCCAAGCACTTAAAGTAAGTGCATTGGATTTGGCTTTCCAAAGTGTCCTGAACACCTGATACACACTCCTTAGAAATCCTGGACCACTCTGCATGTTGTCTTTAAGAATATATGTCTCATTTGGGATAGTAACATGCATCTCCAAACATGTATCAATTAGAACTGAGACTGAGCAAAAACTGCTGCTAAAAGAAAAAAGGGGCCCACGCTCCTGGCCTGCAGACTTAAGGGCATCCACCAAGCTAGAACACAGCCAAGCTGCCACCGCCACTACTTCCATCATTACCACCGTTGCCTTTACATCCCATAGTTTTCTTGCTGCGTGGAGCCCAAAGCAGCTTACACAATCCTCCTCCTCCCCCCTATTGTACACTCACAACAACCCTGTGATATAGGTGAGGCCAAGAATTGGTAGCTGGTCCAAAAATACCCAATGAACTTCATGGTCAAGTGCAGTCTAGAACCGTGACCTCCGGAGTCCCCGTCTATTACAGTCCACCGTCACCACTACACCACGCTTGCTCTCTAGTACCAGTACAATGGGAGGGATTTTGTCAAACCCCCTTTTTGCATGCACTGCCTGGGACCAGAAACACAGCAGTGTTACCTGACAGATGCCCGGCAGTGACGCACATAGGCTGCGTTTGGCTTGGGGGAATCAAAAGATGGGCCTGTGCCTTTCATTTTAAGAGCAGACTCATGTGCCGTGGCTCAACAGCAGCATTCCATGCTTTTAGTGCCGGTGCCATTCCAACATGCTGGATTGCAACTCCCATCATTCCCAGCCAGCACAGCCAGTGGCACTGGAAGAGTAGCTAAGGCTAGTAGTGTAGGAGTGGGCAGACTTCAAGCTTGTGTGACCGGCTTTGCTTTTCAGCAGGACTCCTGAGATATACTAGCCAGAGCCAGGTGCAAAAAGGCAGCTCAAGGCCCATAGCCAACTAACTATTGAAACCCCACAAAAGCCATGCCCTGGGAAGGCCTGCCATACCCACATACAAAACTGTGTCAGAGTTAATGGCACATATGGGATTCTGGCAGCCTAGTTTGGTGCTAAAAATGCTATTAACCAATTGGGAATTGGAGAGCCTTGCTAATTTAGGGCAAATCCTCCAGAGATCCACCAGCCCTGATCTATCTTCTGCCCACCCCTTCATTTGCAGGCGCCCTAGCCAGGTGGTACAGGAGTATGCCCTGCTCCCACTGCAGCTTTAACACCAAGGCCCAGCTTCCACATGGGTCCCATTTGCAGGAGTGGCAACCCCATGGACCATGGTTGTTAAGAGCTCCCAGAAGCTCCAAGTCTGGCGCACAGGCGATTTACCTGTGAATGGTGAGGTAGAGCCGCATAAGTTCAATGAACTGGGGATCAGTATAGCCCAGCATGTTGGTGAAATTGTGTGACCAATCTAAGGCAGGATCAATGGCACCGATGCTGCTGCCCTCGCGGTACAAGTTACGGTAGATCTTTGCAGCGATGCAAGGCAGCTTGGCGATCAAGTCCATGGAGTCCTCATAGATAAACTGCAAGGCAAAGCAGGAGGGGGGTGAGATAAGGTCAGGGACCACTTACAAGAATCTTCCTACTCCAACCACAGCTTGATGTCTCCATCCACGATCTCTTAACTGAGCACAGATGAAGCAAGTTAATGCTCAAGGCAGTGGGACCCATGTGAAGCCTACCACAATATGCCCTGCATTTCCGCTGCATGCATCAGCCTTTGTGCCTGAAGTGTTCTATAGTCCTCAGGAACTCGCTTGACATCTAATGTGCCCTTTCAGGCATTACACAACTCTTGTTTCTCCCATATTCATATGATGCCCTGGGAACCCTATTAAGCACAGCTACCTGGACTTCCAAAAGACTTTCTAAATAAAGCAGAATTTGGATTTGTTTGTAGCATTAATGAATGCGAGAAGCTATGCGGGGCTAGCAACTCCCGCAGACTCAGAAGCCAAACCAAAGCAGTGGTAAGGGCTTGCCTTATGTAACTGCAGCTAGGGAACTGAGATGAACAACTGTATCCTTTTCTACTCAAGATTCCCACTCTTGGCTTTTAGAGTAACATTTCTGCTTCTGGACAGTTGAAAAGAAACTTCTTATGTCCCCACTCCCCAGCCCTGCTCTCTATTTATTCCATCTTTACATTTGCTGTGTATTAGTGAACAGCTGGTCAATGATGGTGATATCCATTCTTGTTTTTCACTGGTATCACAAAATGTTTGTGCAGATTCTAAATGGAGGGTATGCCCATAATTTATTCATATGTTACTTTATAAAATTACATCTGATCATCTTCAGGTGTGCACTTCATGGCAAATCAGTAATTCATATTTTATTTTATTGTTGTATTTACATCCCACCTTTATTCCTCCCACAAGGAACTCAAGGTGGCTTACATGGTCTTCCTCCTCTCCATTTTATCCTCACAACAACCCTGTGAAGCAGGTTAGCTGAGGGTCAGCGACTGGGCCAGTGATCCCAAGTCACCCAATAAGCCTGAAAGGCTGGACACTGTCACAATTTGGCAAGTGCTGCCTCTGTACACGGGGCTAGAGAGGGATGAATCCACACTTCCAATTGTGGCAATTTTACCAGTTCCTGGAATTAGCAAAACAATCCAACAGTGAAGGGTGTTCAGTAATCCCAACAACAGCTTTGCACTCAGTAATGAGAACTTCCCATTTCCCAGTCCAATACAGAGGACTCTGGAAAAACCAGTCCTCAGATTGTGCTACTGCTACGGCTTTTTTTTTTTTTTTGATGAAACCTAACCTGCAATGCATTAAGCTTCACTACTCTCTGGCTAACGAAAGACTACCTCCTGTTTTAAAATATTTAGCAGGAATCATTGTGACATGTAGGATCATCTGTTTGCAACAAGGAGTTATAGATTACAGCTTTTATTTCCACCACATGCAAAAAATAAAAAAGACATCCAGGAGAGCGAGTATTCCATGGAAGTATTCCATTCCATATTCAGAACCCACATTCTAGGTGCACCACACAACCCTGATCTTGCCATCTTCTTCAGTTGGGACAGAACCATTTGATGCAAGGGGTTGTGAGGAGCAGCTACATTTGCAACCTGTGGATTCAAGACTTCACCTCTAGAAGGCTTTAACCAGAGGGTACAGAAGAAATGCCCGCAGCTTCTCCCCACCACACAGTGACACCTGCTAACCAAGCAACTTACACAGTCAAAGGAAAAGCTGCAGCTTCCCGTTCCACGCTTACCTCCCAGTACTTGGTCCGGCTGATTCCCTCAGAGTAGGCGCGGGCAAAAGTGCTCTCACTGTTGAGTGCAGTCACAGCAGCACTGAGTTGAGACATGGGGTGAAGGTTGGTGGGGAAGTTGTCAAGCATGGTCACCACGTGGGAAGGCAGGGCTGCTCTCTTGGCCCACTCTCGAGACAGCCAGTTGACCTGAACAAAGAGCATGCGTCACTTTGCCTTCCAGAAACAGATGTTAAACTTTGCCTGCCCTTCCCTGTTCTTTGCGATCCCCTTCAGCTCTACAGACCTCAAGAGTTTCCTCCAACTGTGCTAAGAACAGGAGGCATAATGAGCTGCAAGGACCAAACACACAAGCTGCAGCTTCCACCCATCGACTGAATCAGAGGCTATACTGACAACCCAGAGCACTGTCTCAGTACCTGCTCTTGTGTGGGGATCGCTCCTGTAACCAGCAACCAAAATAGCCCTTCAGGGAGGGGCTCAGCACCTCCAGGGGCTTTGGGCAGCAGCTTCTGGCACTCAGGAATGCTGTAGCCACGGAAACGGATGCCCTAAAAACACAAGCAAAACAATAAGGATTCATTTCTCAATGGACAAACTAGACAAGCAGTTCTGTGTCACTACAAACCCAGGGCGCCTTACCTCATCAGGGTCCAAGACGGAGGTCTCATATATTAGCCCTTTCATACCTCTCATGCCACCATAGATCTAGGGCAAAGACAACCAGTTAGACAAATGAGTGACGCCTAAGCCATCTCCAGTGCACACGGCAGAACAAGCCCTGCCACACTCCTCAAGCAGGCAGCTACCTTTACCTAACCAGGACAGCAGATATTCCAGATGCGTTTCACCCCAAATCCAAACTCTGGGTCAAGAATACCCAATTCCACAGAGCTGCTTCATATCTGTGGGGGTACCTATATGAAAGACACCCCCTGTAGAAAGACAATCTACACACACCTTTCTTAGATTCATGCAGTATCCACACTCTAAGCCTCTGAATACACACATCCATGGACATCATTATCAACAATGTAACAGCAGGAAGCACAGCAACACATTTCTTTCAATGTTTGTCTTGGGCTAAATACTTCCCCTTCCATCAGCTTCCTTGGGGCCACCATCAGAGTAAAGAACAGAGTCCTTAGCTTTCCAGCTGGCACTCAGAAAGCCTTCCCACTTTGTGCACCAAGGCTATAGCTAGATCACAGGAGAGGATGCAGTGAACTACATAAGCTCTGACTCAGAAGCAAAGCAGAGATTGCTCAGTGCAGCCTGGGACCAATACACATCCAGAAGCCCATCTGGCATCTACACAATGAGAACAACTTGAATGGAAAAAAATTAATCTGTAATGCAGCCACATTACTTAACAGCAGGAGGACTCTCACTGGCAAGTTAATGAAGAGTTAGTTTCACTCCACTCCCCTTACAGATGGTCAGGAATGAAATCCTAAACTCAGAGGAGAGCATCAGTTAGGACAGCAGTGTAGAATCTCTTTCAGTCTGAGGACCAAATGCCATTTCAGAGAAGCCCTCTGAGGCAGCATTCCAGTGGTGGGCAGGGATGAAGGCGAACAGGACCGGGCCACAATACCACCATATCATAGCTTAAAACTCTTACTGCCCGTAGGTGAGCAACTGGACAGGCGCACCAAGCTTTCAGAACGGCACAAAAGCCAGGAAATCACCAAACAACATAATACTCTGAGGGTTCTAGGCAGCCACACGGGATGGTGCCCTTAATCTCCTTGCAGGGATGCAATGACTAGGATATTTAATACCAGTGGGTTCTTCAGCCCTGCCACCAGTGTGCCAGCAGAACTCACCATATCCACAGTGATCTGACCGATGACTGTGCTGCCATATTGTTGCCTGAAGCTTTTAATTCTTGCTTGCTCCTTGGGTAGCATGTTTGCAAGAACATCTTTCAGATTCTGAAAAGGAAAAACTGAAAGTCAACCCATATGCAAAGTGACAAGTAAAAAAGCACTTAATAATCCAGCCCTGGAAAAGGGGTGGGCTGGAAGAGAGGGAGAAGGTGGAACAACACCAATATGGATTGGAGCTTTTCCTTAAGCGTGAGGTAAATAACATGAGACAAAGGCCACTCTTTATTTTTATATTTATCAAGCTCCTAAAATACTCCAGCCTGTAGCTGGAAGGGTCATGCAGTCATCTCTCCTGCACAGCCCTCAAGGTTACGAAACAACTGCTTACCGTGGAAGCGCTGGCATGTCTAGCAGCAAAAACAATACATGATGAATTCTGCAAGGAAAAAGCAGTGCCATGTTAAACACTAGCTTTGCACCCACAAACCGTATGCCCTTGCACTGCAAGACCTTCCCTCCCTTTGACCGCCATCATGCAGATACACCTTGGCTCCCTGATTTTAAGAGATTCAGTGACACATGATGGACTCTGCTGTCATGCAACATCAATAGTTTCACAACATACTCTTGACAGGGTGGAGATCTGAAGTGCCTGGAGGAAGCCTTCCCCAGGGCTGTCCCGAGAATGTATACTCAAGAGGCACATCTCTAGGGAGCTGAGGTATCTAAAAAGCTGCAGAAACATTCAGTTTATTTTTTCAGCAGGTGCAGGAGCATGTTTGCTATAATCCTCCTGGATGATTAAATTTTAAATACATCAAGTGTTCCTACCTCTTTTGCCAGAAGAAAAAGACATGTGAATTTACCTCTTCCAATCCTACACCCTCTTCCCTCACCTGTGACACTTCAAAGTATGTGCTTCACTTTGAGCAATTTTCTCTACAAGTGGCCCTTCTAAGGCAGGAAGCCTAGCATTAGCTGTTTAAGTGTTTTGTCGAGATCCCACTCAGCAAGCACTTACCATGAGTCATTCTCACCAGGGAAAGCAGAGTGTGCTACAGTTTCATGAACCAGCAATCCTGCTGGCTTAGCAGCATTAGATACTTCACTGTAAGACACTGAATTTCATCCACTAAGATCCGCTAATGCTAGAACTACAAAGCTGCAGCCTTCTTCCTTTGAGACACACAGCAGTTGATGCCAGAACTGAACAGACCTCTTCAAAGCTATGGCTTATGGATCTATTATCCAGCTTTCGGCAGCACAGCTGCAGCTGTCCGGAAGCTAACCATTAACCTTTGGAAATTCAGCCCAGTACCTGCCCTATCTGAAAGTGCTCAAACTTCACAGGTTATATCCAGAGCTGCATGTACTTTGTGATTCCATGCAAGCACAGAAACAAGTTACGCATACTATGGAAATGGGTGTAAGTTCTGCTGAAGTTGCGACCTTTATACAGGTCAGAAAATGCAACTCCCTCTTTTTGCTTGCAGAATGCTGGTAACCATGAAGCAGTATTCAGATTTTCTAGTTCTAGTTTATTTATATTTTAATACAATATCCTAACCTTAGCCAGTCTTAAGGCTAGGCCTCCTTGAATGCAATCTCTATGACCTTCTACTGCAGTTTTCGCCAATCCTGTGCCCTACAGATGTTTTGAACTAAAACCTTCAGATTTCCTGATGTGAGTCGATGTGAGTTGGAGCTCAAAACAACTGAAGTAACCTGTTACCAACATTAACAGAGAATGATAGTTTGCAGTGGGAAAACAGAAGCCTTGGTAAAATGCAATAAGTCACACCTATAAATACCTTCCCACTCATTGTGATTATCTGAGGAAGCCTTACTCTGCACTTTTTCCAGTGGTAAGAACCAAGGGTGTTGCAGAGAAGGGCCTTCTCTGTTGTGGCAACCACCTTTTGTCCTTGAGTTGGTACTCTTTATACAGCTTGCACTGCTGGCTGAAAACCTTTTTCTCCAAGGTGTTTGCTGTGCACATAACTATTCTCTTCGGTTGAGTTGCAGATGAATTTGTTCTAGAAGGTTCAATGTTACTTTAAGGCTGTTTTAGCATTTTTGTATGCCATCAAGTTGAATTAAGAGTCCCAAATACAATAAAACTTTTATGTGTTAATTTAAGCCAAACGAGTTAAGCTTTTAATAGGCAAAAAAAAAAAAAAAATCACAAAACATTGATCTCTTTCCACTATAATCTCTTTCATATAGGAAACATGAAAAGAGATATAATGGTTGCAAAAAGTACTCAGTGGTTACTGTAGCTATTTGCAATATTGTGCCAACCCAGCTGTTAGGGGGTCATTTGAAGATTAGCCAGATCTCAAATACTATGGCTTGTTTCAGGGTATTTGAGGTTTATCTAACCCTCAAGCAGTCCCTGGGTTCACATGACACAAGTCCCGTGGGTAAAATTAAGCCACAGTGGACTATTGTGTCATGCCAATCAGCCCAAACCCTGGTTAAGGAAAGAAACCATGGGTTAGTATTACACATAAATTAGATCATTGCCTTTCCTTTTTGAACACTGAATACCTGGCTTTCTAAGGTCACCAAGGAATTCAGTGCACAATAAAACACAAATCCAAAGTCCTAGAATAATCACAATCACAGAAAACATTAGCATCTCTCCTTGGTGTTGCATTCTACTGTATAATGCAACAAGCAAGCCACTTCTGAATGAGGATTTGCTCTTCAGGCCTCTGCAATTTCATGGTAGAAAGACAAAAGAATAAACAAGCCCAAGCTAGGATGACAGACAGCTAAAAAGGTGCAGGGATGAGTGCACAAAGGAAACAAGTCAGAGGAGCTTGAGACAGATTTTCATGTTGAAAATACAAGAATCCAGGCCTTAACTGGAAGATGTTTGAAGCAAGCATTGCTAAAAATCTGAGGTTACATTGTCAAGGGGAGCACAGTTAAACCTGATTGGTTTATGAAGCAGTGTGAGTGGCATCAGTCTTCACAAACAAGCAACCAATGTCACTGTGACGCTGAAAACATCTCTTGTGACTGGCAGCCCATGAGCTAGGGCAGGGATTATTTTTATTATTACATTATGAGAAAAGTATTTATTCCCATTATTAATATCCCACCTTCCAGGATACGAATCCTACTGAGGCAGCTTACATGTAATTTAACATTATATAATCAAACTGCTTTCTTCAAAAAATAAAAACTGTATTTAAAACATTCTTCCCTCAGGACAGTTGGTGGAAGATGGCCTGGGGACAAGGAGAGTTCATGGCATCATCTTTGACTGGGGACAGACATCCCCCTACAAAATCCACTAGTAGCCAGCCTCATTAAGCACAATCCTGAAACATTAAGCCTCTTCAGCAATGAGTAAGTAATGCTACCACAGCTTCCTCAAAAAATCATTCTACATCATGAAGGGTGAAGAGGGCCAACTCTACAGTCCTTGGAGCGATGTTCAGGCTTCGGATGATGACAGAATCCAAGTCACTGCCAAAATGAAGACTCCAGACTGGACATGCAATAACATAGCTCAATTTTCACTTGCGACATAATACCATTTACTCTCAGAGTAACTCAGCAAAAACCCAGCCAATGTTCAAAGTGACACACAGATGTAGCAGAGCAAGCAGTTAGCACTCCTATTGCTGTATCAAAGCAACAAAAATATTTTCTCCACTCTAGCCCTAGTGTGATATCTTGGGACAACCTACAGCTGGGGGAAAACAAGCGTTCACTGGAAGATGCACTGAAGATGGTTGTTTTTCCATATTACAGGGAGGTGGCACAACTGATCAAAGAACTTGCTGCTTTAAGAATGATTCTGCATAGCCATAATTATTCCATGGCAAGAGACTACTTGCTGTCTAGTGTAACAAGCAAGATCGATATGAGATGCAATGGTCTTTTAACAAGGTTTTGTTATACAACTCTACTGAAGCATTTTGTGGTCTGTACTTGAGTGTAATATAGCAGTCCACGTTTCTTGTTACGAAGCCCTTCAGGGCTTGGCATGTGGTTACCCTACAGAACTCTCCCTTGACTACCGAATATGAGCAGACTTGTAAATAGCCACTATCGTGGAAGTGTGGGGCAACTAAAACCTGCCTCTCTTAAGCCACTTGCATTTAACACAGGAATATAGGTAGGTGGACCAGCAAAGCTGTGTGGGCTAGTAACCTATGGGTATCTTTTTTGTTTTGTGTTTATGTAAGCCCGAACACAAGCATTAAGAAACAGTTCTTAATCTAATTTAGTATCATAATTTCATTGGAAAGTCTAGGCCAAGACATTCTTTGCAGGTGTCAGACAACTTTAGGGCTCGTTGTTTCCCACAAAGAACAAGAAACCCTATTTACTAGCCTTTTGGAAATTGAAAACAGCTTCCTTATAAACCAAGCTCAATCATGGTGACTTTAGCTGCAGTATTTATTATGGGGTTAAAAGATGTCAAGTATGTCAGACTCTTTCGAGCACAGGACACATTTCCAAAAAGTCTATATTTAGAACAGAAAAGGCACCAAGCCTTTAACTAGTTGTAACTTGTGGCACCTAAGAGCCCTTTCCAGGTGAACAAGTAGAGAGGTTTTTAGAAGAGTTTGTTTTGTACTATTAGAAAAGTTTCATATTTATGTATGTAAGCAAGCAACCAAGCCAGTAAAAGCTGTTGTGGAATATTAAAGTCTTCTTATTAGGTTCAGGAAAGTTAATGAATTTTCCTGGGAATCAGGTACAGTGAGTTCAAGCTAACTCTAACCCTGGCACTCATATGACTAGTTCATAATCTTGACTTAGGTAACTTCTCCATCAATCCTGCCTAGGGCTCTTAAGTTGGTGTGCAGGCCAAAATAATGACACTAGGATTCAGTAGCATCTACAAAGAAAACCAAGCATTAGAATATAGAGGCTGCCTCTACTACATGATCTGAAGAAAGCTCCCTCCTCCTTCAATATTGCCACTGCTTTTCCAACATAACCTTTATCCTCAGTCTACTCCAACCTTCCCCAACATGGTGTCCTCCAGATGCACCGTGAAGGAATGAAGGGAATTGCAGTACAACACACCCCGGGAGCACCAGGCTGGGGAAAGCTTGTCTACTCCAATTACAGTCAAATCCACATTTTGCAAAGTTAAAATGCAATTTCTGCAGCCAGTTACTACAGGTGCTTTTAGCATAATTACAGGAGCCGTTCTTTGACACTGTAAGTTCTTGCAAGAATATGATGAGGTTGCTTCATTACAAAATGTGTTAGCATATGGCATGCAGATGCTGTTCTACCTATCAACTACCGGCCTCTTCTAAGCATCTATAAGTCAAGAAGCCTACAGGATAGGCTTCCTCCCATCCAGAGTTGATACTGATCCAGAGTCCCAGCTTGTATTGAACAACAGGCATTGGTGTACAAAGAAATAAATGCTCCACAAAATGCTCCTGGATTTGAATG